CTCTGCAGAAGCTCTGCAACTTTATGCAATCCCATTTGTCCAACCTTTCTTTGATTTGTTGTGTTTCCGGGTCTCTATTCAAAAAATTTCGGTCTGAGCCAAGGAGACCTAGGATTTCTCCTATTCCATCCTGTAATGTTTTCAGAGTGTCTGCTTTGACTTCAAGGTCTTTGATCCATTTGGAGTTGATTCTGGAAGCAAGTGTCTTTGAAGATAGTTTTTGTATAAGTTCAGAAATATTTATAAATAGATTATAGTATGCCATGTATTATGTCATATATGAGATAGTATATGGAAAAGTTAATATGACACTGGGAGATTTGTTTTGAATAAGTGAAGCAATAGTCATTTTCTCAAGTAACAAAAAGTAGAGTCTTTTATTTTCTGGTCCGGGGTCTTAAACTCTGGACCTGGGTGCTGTCCTTGGGCTACTTTTTTCAATTCTAGTTCTCTACCACTTGAGCCATAGCTCCACTTCTGGCTTTTTCTGCATACCTTATTGGAGATAGAGTCTCATGGACTTTCCTGCCTGTGCTAGCTTTTAACCATGATCCTCAGATCTCAGCCTTCTGAATAGGTAGAATTACAGGCGTGAGCCACAGGCATCCAGCTCAGAATCATTAATATACATTTATAGCTACTCTATATTTCTCCATGTGAAATAATTCTGGTCTTTTAAGTTATGTTTTTATTTTAAAATGCTTGAAAAGATAGTATAATTTATGACTCAACATACAGTCAATGTAGCAAATTATCTACACTCTTGATGGGCTGTAATATTCTTTCTAATGACATATGATTGGTCCTGTTCACAGCAAATTGTTGAATGGTAACTTGTAGAGTACCTTAAAACCTGTGAGGGTGGAGGTAAAAGTATGTAAGTGTTATTATTGAATTGCCTTTGATGTTATTTTGGCTTGCATCCTTATATTCCAATAAATATGGAAGCATATAAACCCAAACCTGACATGGTAGAGCATAGCTCTACATTATAGACATTGTTGAGATAACTTAGGTTTGTCAAACTTATTTTATCCCCGATTTAGTATCCAAAGAAACCAAATATTTAAACTGTGTTCATCTTTTTGGAATTATGAAATAAAGAATAGTATACTCACTTAGGCATCTTCTTTGGAAGCCAAAACAGTATCTAGAATATAGCAAATAGGGTATATGTTACTTCTAGGTAAAATTTCCATCCTGAAATGCATTAAATTGTCTTTTGGCACCACAGGAATACTATGATAGCTTTAATTTAAAGCAAAAGACATTTATAATTTTCTTCCAAAAAATTAAAGCAATCTATTTTGTTAGGTTTTTAAAAAGAGGCCAAGTAAGAAGAGCACCACACACGTGGTACTCAGGTAAGGGGTAGGTTTACTCATTGGTCCGGCTGGCACCAGGTCATGTTAGCACTCCACGCTGGGAAAGGCCTGGGAAAGAGAGCATCTGGCCCTAGGCTAGGCCTTATCGAGGGTAGTGGGGGGTAGGGGCGGGGGGGGGGAGAGAGCTATGGCCACATGGAATCCAGAAGTGACCTCTTCCAGGTGTGCCAGTTGCCTAGGTAACGCAGGTACTGGATGGAGACTGCTGCGAGGAGGGTGGAGTCTGCTCGCCATCCAAGAGTGAACCTTACATTCCAGCCTTTTAATAATCATGAAATAGGGCGTGGATTCTCTCTGGCTACTTCCTGCTGATAAGGGGCATGACATTAGGGGTAAAAGGCTGGAATTTGGTCTCCTCCCAGAGAAGGCAGTGAGCAGCAGCTGTCCCTTGGTGGTGTGAGTCTTTAGATGAAGTCTGGAGAAGTCTCATGAGGCATTGAGGGGCTGAAAAAAATACTAGAGAGCAAATAAATGGCAAGAGGAAGGACTTGGTGTTGAAAATTGGATGACTTGGGCTAGAATGGCTAGTTCTTATCTCCTGCATTCCAGGCTGTCCTGGAGTTGGTGGAAATGTCCCTAACTATTTCTGACATCTGGCAACTAGGTAGGGAGGACGTCAGGTAACAAAGGCAATAATGTAAATTCCTGTCCAGTTAAAAGGTAGACTGCTATGGACATTAGATGGGCAGGCTTCTACTTCTATTGACCTCCCTGCTCTGGTTAATTTTGAAAGGGCAGGCACAAAGTGGCTGATGTGACATCATCTCCTCTTACTCCTCCATGGTCCCTTGTTTCCCAGACTGGCTGAGTCTAGGTGTTCATCGCTAGAATGGCTTGTCCCAGTTACTATCCATGGAGGTTTGAACTCAAGGCCTGCGCACTGTCCCTGAGTACTTCTGCTCAAGGCTAGTGCTCTATCACTTTGAGTTACAGTACCACTTTCAGTGCTTGGCTGGTTAGAGATAAGAGTCTTGAGCCATGCTTCCAGCCTGGCTCTTTGCAGGTTAGTTGGGAGATGGAGTCTTAGGGATTTTTCAGCCTGGGCTGGCTTTGAACTGCAATCTTTGCCACAAAAACGCTTTATTATTTCAAATTAAAGCAACAAGGAGATCAAATAGAATAAGTAGAGCTTACCTGGTCCTTATCAAGAACTGACCAACAAATATTCTGCAATGACAAAACTTGTTAGATGTGATGAGAATTTTAGCACAGATATGCCCAATATTTTAGAACCACGTAGTCAGTAGTAGAATATACAACACCAAATAAAAAAGGCAAAACTCAAAACCTAAAATTTTTGACAACAATGTTTATACATCTTTGCTAACAAAGCACATCAGATGGTTGGGCCTCAGTTACTAGGGCCAAAATGAAGTGTGGAGGTAGATGCAGAGACTAGCAATGGTATTGATGCACTGTGTCTGCAGCAGACAGACCAGTTCACCAAAAAGGCCATTAGAACTGTGGGTATTCCTCAGAAAACAAAAAAGGGGGGAAAAAGAGAAAAAAATGGAGAAGAATCCCACCTATTCTGACTTTAAGCCCTTCCTGGGTTCAAATGGCACCATTTATGTTAGGTTTTTTAAAAGAGGTAGCCGAGTAAGAACAGCACCACGCACGTGGTATTCAAGTAAGGGGTAGGTTTATTCATCATTCTGACTGGCACCAGGCCCTGTAGGCCCTCCACAAGGCTGGGAGAGACATGGGAAAGAGAGCATCTGGCCCTGGGCTAGGCCTTATCTAAGATAGGGGTGGGGAAAAGTGTGGCCACATCCAATCCAGATGTGACCTCTTCTAGGTGTGCCAGTTGTCTAGGTAACGCAGGTACTGGGCAGAGACTTTGCTGAGAGGAGGGTGGAGTCTGCTCTCACCATCCAGGAGCGGACCTTACATATTTCTTTCAGTGTAACTTACAATAGAGAAAACTTCAGAAAGAAAATGAATGGATTGGATCTTTAGGAACTTTCTTGCTATGAATTATCAATATATTCTACTATGGTTTAGATCTTAACTGTTCACTTGAAGTCATGTGTTGATGACCTGGTCACAGGCCTGTGGCACTAGTTGGAGGTGGTTAAATCTTAAAGAGGTTGGGCCTACTGGAAGGACTCAAGTCACTGATGCCATACATCTCCCCACAGTCCCCAAAACAATAGAGCCAAACTATTATGGGCTGAAATTTCTGGAAGTCTTAAAAATTGTTTATCTCTGGTATTTTGTCACAGCTGTGGAAAGCTGACCAGCTTTATTTTAGATAGAACAAATGTGATCATTATTAATGAGTGTACATAAGGAAAAGTACAAGTTTACTATTGGAATGCAATCTGTTAAATTGCTATGTGGCTGGTTATGCAATGAGTCCCATTCTTTTTTTTTGAGGGTAGGGTGGTAAGTCATGGGGCTTGAACTCTGGGCCTGGGGGCTGTCCCTCAGCTCTTCAGCTCAAGGCTAGCGCTCTACCAGTTGAGCCACAGCACCACTTCCAGTTTTCTGAGTGATTTTATTGGAGATTAGAGTCTTACGAGCTTTTTTGCCTGGGCTAGCTTGAACCATGATCTCAGCCTCCTGAGTAGCTAGGATTACAGGCATGAGCCACCGGTGCCTGACTTCATTCTTTTTTTTAATGTCTCATTCTGAGATATATTATTCAGGGGATTGCCAAATCTCTGTTGTCATCCATTATAAATATTCTGCTGGACACAATTCTCACAACTTTGAGTGGGAAAAGCAAAAAGTAGAGCTAAATAACCAAATTGTAAATACTCACTAGGAACTTAGGACTATTCAAGAATCAGGGCTCCTGGAAAAGCTCAATAAGAATCAGATGTATAAAGATACAAACAAATTATGTTTCCTCAGATGAACCGTACAGCTCTGCATTTTGCAGTAGGGGGAAATAATCTCTCTGCCGTGGATTTCTTGCTGAGCCACAAGGCCAGAGTGGATGTTGCTGATAAGGTAAGCAATAAGAAGAACAAGGTGGAGCATGATGAACACACAGGGAGAATCTGATCACTCTAGAGATCTTTCCTTCATATCCACACTCAGTATCTCTGTGGACAGCATTCTTTTGAAGGTCTCTTTAGAGAATATACATATTGTGCATTAGGTACACTTGGTGGCTGAATTGGTTACTCTTCTCTTCCGGACTTGGGCTTTTATTTTCCCACACTCACCTTCTGGTCAATAGTTTTCATTTGTAATACTAGATAGCTGTTCAGAGTATAATCTGGCACATAGAATACAAAAGCTAACTAGCCCCAGGGACTTTAAACTTTGATTTTTCCCTTTGGACTACAATAATAAAGAAAGCCTATTAAATACTTATTATGTACTAGGTAAAAACTATAAGGATTGATATTTAGTGCCCTATCCCAACCAACCTTGTGACAAAAGTATTATAATCCCCAGTTTACAAAAGAAGAGATGAATAGAAAACATACTCCCAAAACACATATTTAAGGAAAGGATTGGGACACATCTGAGAGACCATATTTGAACCTAACACATGTGATTCTAAAGAAAGCACACTTAGCTAAATAGCTACAACTTAGCTTAACTTTTTGCCTAGATATCAAAACCTACCTACAAAGAAGGACTTCCTCCTTCTTTGCAAACTTCATTTAACACAAACCATTTAGAGAGACCTAACACTATGTTAACCTGGTTACAGAAGGCCATGATAGCCTTATTGGAAAGTTGTTGATTCTTAATTCCATAGACCATGGTTCTTAAAATTTCAGAAGATTCTCACAGAGATGGTCTGTTTTCTGTCTGGACTGGAACTCCTTGCAAGGAAAGGCCAGGCATTGCTTTTAACTCCCAACAAGTAAAGCAATCTCACAAAGTCTAGATTTAGTATGTGATGGTAAATGTTTAGAAGATAAATGTAGTCAGCTTGTACCAATTAATCATCTTGTTGGTTTTGTTGACAACTGGATAAGGTATAGGTGTAATGGTAGCAGTTTATCAATGGGACACATCTCTTTCTAATTTTTTGGTCTGGCATTGGTGAGCAAGAAGGCTGTTATATGGTCAGGATAGCTTGGAATATCTCTTCCTAATACCCCAGGCTTACCATTACTCACCATTCTCCTGCCTCAAGCTCCTGAGTGTTGTGATTATAGGCACGAACCACCATACCCAGCTCTTCAGAACCATACTTTGGATACCAAGAACTTCTGTCCAGTTAAATCTTCAGTCTATGTCACAAAAAATAAAAAACCAAGGAAAAAGTAAGTGTGGTTCTGAAAAATGAAACAAGCCTCACCAGGGAGCTCACTAGAATTGCAGGTACTCAGAGTCTTTGGATCACAGCCTGGGATTCTAGAAGATTCCCAGATAAGCCTAGGGATGTAGTTTGGTGGTTGAACACTTGCCTAACATCTTAACATGTGCAAGGTCCTGGGTTCAATTTCTAATGCCTCACAAGAAGGGAAGATGGAGGGAAGGAAGGAAGGGGGAGAGAGAAAGAGAGAGGGAGAGAGAGAGAAGAAGAGAGAGAGTGAGAGAGAGAGAGGGAGGGAGGGAGGGAGAGAGAGAGAAGAAGAGAGGGGGCAATGAAGGATGAAACTTTTGCCAAGTTTGTATGTACCAGTTTGCCCTCCACTCCCCCAGCCTACATAGTGAAACCCTGTCTCATTAAAACCAAAACCAGCTAAGTGCCTGTGGCTCATGCCTATAATCCTAGCTACCTGGAAGGCTGAGATCTGAGGCTCAAGGTTCCAAACCAGTCCAGGCAGAAAAATTTACATAACTCCAATTAACCAGCAAAAAGCTGGAAGTGGGAATGGACTTAACGGTAGTGTGCTAAAAAACCAAATGTGTGAGGAAAAAACAAATGGAAGCATGAGGCTCTAAGTTTAAGCCCCAGTACTTACATGTGAACACACACACAAGCTGAAAAGATTGCCAAATGACCTATGAGATATAATGGTATGAATATAGTCTGGACTTGGCAGGTCCTACTATCCATCTGAGAAGTGTAAGAGATAAATGAGTACAATACAAGGCATTGCGTGCTCAGGGTCAAAAGCATTGCAGAGCACTTTCAAGTTCAAGGCAGGTAGTCTTTTGAGGAGGTAGACTAGATGAAGATTACTCTTCACAATGTAAGAGTACTCTTACACTAGGTATGAACAAAGACTGAAGCCTTTGGTCAGAGTTTAGGGGATGCTCAGAGGAAAAGGACAAGCATCTGTTCTCAGGGCTGCTTCTCTGAGAAGTACCTCCAATGAAAGTGTTCCCAGGGTACCTTGTAGCCATCCTGGCAATGGGATCAGTTTCTCAGTGACTGTCAGCAGTTTTTACTTTACACTATGTGAGCCAGCTGTGAGTGGAATCCAGGACATAGACTCTTTTGCAGCTCCAGACATGAGTGTTTCATAGCAGGAGATTGGGTTATATAGAGGTTCTTCTAGGGAAATTTACATCTGTGAGCAGTGATTCACTGCCTCTGAGAAATGATGGCTCCACTTGGAATTTGTGGTTTCAGTGACTAGTTTATTTGCTGCTTGCACTCTCAGTCTCCGTATTTCTGTAATCTATGTTTTCAATGTTGATTGTTTCAAAATTGGGAATGACCTGTAAGGGGGAGGGGACAATAGAAATGCTATCAGAATGTGATTTGTTATTACCTGTCCCAAATATTTCTGCTCTTTCATGGCCATATGTAAAACCAGATTCATACTATTGGGTCTGGGACCCTGATTTGTAGGGAAGCCTAAATTAAGAGGCTGTATATTTTCTTGGAAGAACATAAGTCATCATACATCATTGTTCCTTGTGCAGAGATTCAGAGCTTTCTTCATGTTGCAATTTTAAATAGACAAATGAGCTCCCAGTATATGGTGACAGCTGTGTACAGTTCAAGCAGGCTTTCTCAGAAGTGACACTATTGACATTCAGAGCTGCTTTGTACATAGTAGACTGTTGAGCAACATCCCTGGCCTCTACCTGTTCACTGCCAAAATCAGAGTACAGTCATGACTTATCAAATGTCTCAAGACATTTGAAAATGTCCCTTGAAAACAAAATCATCTCCAACTGAGATGAAAAAGAAATCCACCAATTTAGAACTATGCTGTAACAATCTGGGACTTTCTTTTTTACTTTCCATACCTGAACTCTTTGAAGAATAAGAGAATTTCTACATAGCCCAAATGAACACCCAAGGTCTTATATACAATTTCTACATAACCCAAATAAACACCCAAGGTCTTACATACTTTACAAACAAAAATGTCTGTCTTATGTCCTCAAATGGTATGCATCTAACAAACAAGTTTGCTGAGTTAAAACTGTAGCCAATCAGGAAAGGCAAATATAATGTAGTGAGAAAGCTTGCTTCAGGCAGGGGCTCCTACAAAGTAATGGATTACTGTTCAACAGGGAAAAAGAAACAGAATGAGATGCACAGACTTTGCAGCTAAGAAACAAGAAGCTGAGAGACCAAGTTGGGCAGCATCACAGTACAGGAAAGTGATAGAAAGTGACTAGAGGTTGAGGTCAGTTCTGTTTGATCCTGAAATAGTGTGCACAGAATGTAAATAATGTGTAATAGCTATCTCGAGGCTGATGACACCTATCAGATTTTCTAGCTTCCTTGTCTCTCACTCTCCACTTTCTGAAATATCCAAGGCTAACTGCTGGCTGATTCAGTTTATAATTCACCATACAGCTACTCACAGCAGTTCTACAGGTCAGGAAAGCCTGGCAGGGTCAGGGGCTCTCTGTGTGCTTTATGTACACACGTGCCTACAAAGTGCACACATCTGTATTATTTTGTTTATCAAGCTTCTATACAAATTAGCAAGCTTCTATACAAATGAGATACTTTATATAACTTTTTGTTTTTTGCTTTCTTTGGCTTATTGTATCTTTCCCTTCTTCAGTGACTACACTACATCCTGAGATGTTTGTGTGTTTATTTCTGTGTTTTTTCTATATTCCATATAATCACTCCTACATCTATCCTTTAACAACCTACTGTGTATAGATGTAAATAAAACATATGTAGATGGAGTTTTTGTTCATTGCAAGTTTTATAAAAATAGGATTATATTATCTCTCCATCTATTTCCCATAGTTGGTGGAGCTTGTAGAAATCTTTTTAAGTTGATTGTTAAAAGTCCTAATTCAGTATTTTTAATCATCATGTATGATATAATTTATAATTTACAGTATATGGATAGGTAAGTATCTTCTTTCTAATTTTCAGTGTCACAATTGTTCATTGTGTGTGTATATGTGTGTATGTGTGTGTGTGTGTGTGTGTGTATCTGTATGTGTATAACACCAGGTCCTGAAAAGTTTATTTTTATGGCATAGATTCCCACAGGTTTAGGTTAGTGGTGTATTTTATCTTTAAGTAGATGTTACCAGCTTGTTTAGACAATAATGTTTTTCATTTCTTCTAATGCATTAAAATAATACTTTTACTTATGCATTTTCCTATTGTTTCTTTCTTGATTTGTGAAAGCACTTCATATATTAAAGAATCACCATTGGTCTTTATTAATATTTTAAGGTATCATTTGTTTATTGAGTTTATATTCTATCTTTCCTTTTATAATTGAATTAAGAGAGTACACATTATAGTCTGACTTTCATCCTAATGTATTAATTGTGTACTTTGTGTGTACAGTGTAATACAACATCTGATTTTTTTTTTTTTTTTTGTTGGTCGTGGGGCCTGAACTCTGGGCCTGGGCGCTGTCCCTCAGCTCTTCAGCTCAAGGCTAGTTCTCTATCACTGGAGCTACAGTGCCACTTCCAGTTTTTTCTGCTTATGTGGTCCTGAGGAGTCAAACCCAGGGCCTCATGCATGTAAAGCAAGCACTCTAGCCACCTTCTCGGCCACAGCATCTCATTTTTTTAGGGCTGCATCACTTATTAAGTATACTTATTTCCCCATAGAACTTAAATATTCCATTTTCTGTGGACTAAATTATCTCTCTTTTTCTTAATTTTCACAGCCTAGTATTTGCAAGGCCTGTGTTAACTTAGCTAGCATGCTGTGACACATCTATCTAACAGTTTCTTTCCTTCTTTCTCCTTGGGAAGCATGGCTTGACTGTAATTCACCTTGCAGCCTGGTCTGGAAGCTTTGAGATCATGCTCATGCTGGTTAAAGCTGGAGCAGACCAGAGAGCCAAGAACCAGGTAGGTATGTGGGTCCCACCTGAACATGAGCTCTCACTGCCTCAGTGCAGGAGAGGGAAGTTCTGTGTTGCAGTGAAAGAGTCTCCTCCTCTCTGGCTATCTTCAGGACGGAATGAACGCTCTTCACTTTGCAGCCCTGAACAATAATGTGAACATTGTAGAATACCTCATCCAAGACCTGCACCTGAAGGACTTGAACCTGCCAGATGAGGTGAGTCTGCAGTGGGAGCAGATCCTACATACACTCTCAACTTCCACTTTCCTCCTATTCCTGGTGCAGCTGCCAAAGCAGCAAGCACAGCCAGAACCGGCCTGTGGCAGCAGCTGGGACTGTGGCAGAGACCAAGGAACAGATGCGGATTGGTGGTGGTGGAGGCACTGACCCACGTGTGTAGGGTGGACAGGAAGCGTAGCAGAAGCATCAAAGACCCTCTTACAGTTTACTCCCTCACCTTGGCCAGGGAGTGGGCACTATCTACCCTCTTTTCTTTTTTTTTTATTCCACTATATCTAATATTTTTAGAATGCATTTCACATGAAGCTGTTTAGTAATCAGTCATGGAAGAGAATGTAGATTTGATGTATTGGTTTACATTCCTTCTTTTTGGAAATATAACACCAGCTACCACTTCATTTATTAATGTGCTTGGTATAGAGGAAAGCTATTTCTATAGAGCAAGAGTCCTGGGCTTTGCTCATTCCAATGCTCTACAATATGAATGAGCGAAAGGCTTCATGAATCCTTGCAACAATCTAATAAAGTAGACAGTAGTTTGTCCATTTTCGGTAAAAAGCTAAGGTCAGTAGAAGCTAAATACCTGGTCTATAATCTCAACTAGAAAAATGACTACTCCAGGATTTGAGACCTAATACCCATTATCTGTCTTAACACTAGTTATCATGCTGTCCTCACTCTCTTCTCAGATGACAATGGACATTGCCCAGATGTTGGGACTGAGTTTTCCCTGGAGCATCTCCCTTTGCCATTGTTCTAGAGTAGCATCCTTAGTGCAATTGACATTGCAGTTTCTCAGCAGTTGAATATACATTATGAATTGGTCTTATGTTTTTCTGTGAAACTACTGTGTGTGTGTATATGTGTGCATGTGTGCACATGCACGCACGCGTGCCCTGGGGGCTTGAACTCAGAGCCTGGGAGCTGTTCTGAGCTTTTTTGCTCAAGGCTAGCATTCTACCACTCCATTCATAACTATATTTCCAGCTTTTTGGTGGTTAATTGGAGATTGGACTCTTACAGACTTTCTTGCCTGGGCAGGGTTTGAATAGCAATCCTCAGATCTCAGCCTCCTGAGTAGCTAGGATGACAGGTATGAGCCACGGGTGCCCACCTTGTGACATTACACATTTCTCCATAAACATTTCTCTAGACGTGATCAATACTATTCACTTCATTTCAACTCTTTTAAAGAGTTTGTGCATTTTTTCTTGACTTTGTTCTTAAAATAACGAGCAAAAGACTCAAATGATGTCTATACACTTCTTTTACTTCCTTTGCATATGGCTGTATGGTTACAGCTTGGAGGCAGGCCGGCCTGGACTGTGTTCTGGGCATGGCTATCATATCAGCAAGTTTTCCAACTGCTGCTGACAGCCTCCGTGTTTCCATCTCCACAAGGACAATAAGAAAAGTGACTTCCGTACTGGTAGCACCAAGGGCATGTGGGGAAATTCTCTGTTTCTCTTTCTCTCTCTCTCTCCTCCCTTCCCCCCTCTCCCATACTCATGCCACACACATGCCACACATAAATGTATTATTATCATCCAATATCTTTTCTTTGATAGAAATGATTAACATTTTCTTGATGGTAAGCAAAGTATCTATGCAAATGAGATGGTGAGCCAATGAACAATGCCCTTCCATTTAGACACCAGCCCTAACTCCATTCCTTCATAGAGATTGGAGCAGCCATGGCTGGGATGCTTGCATGAGGTAATGACTGTAAAATACTTAGCAAAGAGCTGGGTTTTGTTAAGTGCTCACTAACAGATATTCACTTACTGGCTGTCTTTGGAATTTTTTTTTGGCTGAATTTGATGTTATTACATTTTATAAATTAACCTTGGCAGTATTCCTAAAAATAAAAAAATAATACTTTACAATAAATAGTTTTAATCCCTCAGACTTTAGTTACATACGATAATTTTAAATTCAGCAAGTTAAAATATACAAAGTTAAAAACACACAAAGTTAAAAACACTATAAGTTTAATAAAAGATAAAAGAACAAGAACAAGAGTCCTGGATCCTCCTTATGGTAGTTAATTAGGAAAGGTCTAGGATCCAGAACAAGGAAAGCATGGTGATCTCTCCCAAGTCTGAAACTTGAGGCTTCAACTCTCTTCCTGGCTAGAAAAATCTGCCTCCCAAATAAAGGGAGGGGGTCCTATGAGACTGCATTGGATGAGGCCCATTTAAACATAATGAAAATGGGTTTCATGGTTTAAAAACAATAAGACATGACAACGAACTGTATGTTAAGAGACCACATATACCCTTGAAATTCCTGTTGTTACTTTGTAAACATGTTTACATAAGAGAAAACATTTATAGTTCATTTTACTTTCTTCCTCATCTTATTCTGTGCTAGTTTTTGGTATGTTTATAAGATATAGATTACTTTAAATATTTGTACTCTGAGTAAGTTGGCTTTTACATTTTTTTCTTCATGATAACAGTTTTAAAGGGCATCCAAAGTTCAAAGTCATAGCTCTTTTCTTGGAGAGTTCTGTGGTTCACTGCAGTCTTATTTCCAGATCCTCCCATGTGTTAGCTTTTCCTTGGGGTGGCCCCTTATCACTTCGTTTAGCTAGTAGAGATTCAAAACTTTGTAGCAACCAAGGCTAAAAGAAAGAATCTCTGAGCCTTCTAGTTATCTTTGTCCCTGCTATGGTTTGAATATGGACTTGACCTCAAATGTAAGCGGGAGTTGAATCATCATTACCACAGATCAATGGAATTAAGAAGGCGGATCTTAACCCAACTATGTGGTTTAGAGGTGGAGTTCTGGGGAAAAGATCAAGATAGATAAGATAATTAGGGTGGAGCCCATGATCAAATTCTGGTGGATTTCTAAGCTGAGGGAGAGAGAGACACACACTCAGTTCTATGACCCCTATACTGCCTTGAGTCTATTAGCGAGAAGACCTTTGGCAGAAGAGGCCCCATAGACTTTGCTCCTGTGCAACTGTGAGTCAAAATAAACTTCTTCTCTGAGTAAAGTTCCTTACTTTTTAACATGCCACTATAATAGTTAAAAATGGACTAATGTATTCCACAAACTAATATGTATTAGGATTCTTTCTGTTACAAGAACCAAATATCCATCTTAAGCTACATTAAGACATAAAGGTTATTTATTAACTTCAAAGTAAAGTGTTTGAGGGTGCATCTTCTGGCCTTCAGGCTGGCTCATGCCCTTTTTCTTTCCACAAATGCTTAGCTGTTTTTGTACTGGCATTATCCATAGATATACACTGTTCTTATGGAGGGAAAGATGGCTATTAGTGGCTTCCAGATTATATCCTTACAGAACTCAATTTATGGGAAAAATTCTCTTTTTATCAATTGTTTATAAATGCATTTCAGGAGCAATTCTGTTTGGCTCTCTGCATCCTATGCTGAGTACTAAACCAACTCTATGACTAGCGTGGATTTTGTGGTTGCTTCATGTGACTGGAGGCAGTCAGGTAATCACACTAGTCAGTCAACAGCACTAAATACATGAAATAGCTGGGTGCCTGTGTGGATGTGTGGGCGTTCTTCAAAGGAGAACCCAAGAGCTGTTGCGACAATAAAGGTAAACATAAAACCAAAAGCAACACTTCCCACTCTAGAGCACAACATGGCTCTGTATTATTTATGGTCTCTATGAGCAAAGAACTAACAAAGCCCCTCCACCTGCTATAGGAGAATTTAAACTTTGGTTAACTTTCTACTTCTGTGTCCTTGCAGGCTAGAAAAAAGTAGACTATTAACTGAGTTACTAAGCAACATGGTTTCTGATAAAGGAGGCCTTAATTGGTGCATGGTGTTTGGATTTGTGGGAGCTACAGATGGACTGTAATTGCTGAGCTGAGTCTGGAAAGAACCCTTCCTGCACATTGAAGTCACTTTCATAATTCTGTGGCATAGCCCAGTTGCTATAAAGAAGCCCTCTAGTCATTGGTGACAGATTCTGTCAGGGATAGTTTTGACTGGCCATCTGACTGGATTGAGAGACATTGGGGATTTCTAAGTGCACACCCAGGGGGTGGCTGTTAGGACATTTCTAAAGTTTAGATTAGCAGTGATTAGTAGTCAATACTTAATAATGGGTTCAAAATTTGAGTAGAGTGTTAGGAGGTGGTAGAACTGTGGAAGGTGAGGCCTGGTGGAGGAAGTGGGTCTCTAGGTATACCTTTGAAGGATATGTTTTGGCCCTGGCCCCTTCTTTTACTCTTCCTTACTTCCTGGTTGCCATGAGGTGAACAGCTCTGCTTCACTTGGCTCTCCTTCCACTATGTTTCAACCTTGCCACATGCCTAAAAACAATGAAGCAATCTGCCCATGAATCAGTGAGTTGAAATGAATCTTTTCTCCTTTTAAGTTGTTTAATCTCAGGCATTTGTCACGCAATGGAAAGGTCTGACTAACACTGAAACCCAACTCAATCTATTATAAGGAAAGAAAAAAGAATTCGTTGGCTCATTGAATGACAGAGTAGCTATTCATACAAAGGCATGAGTGGCTTTAAGCATATTTGAACCTATGAACTCAAATGGTGTGGTTAGAGCTCTCTATCTCTTTTTACTTTTCAGCTCTGCTTTCCACCATGTTAGCTTTGCTCTTAGGCAGACCCTTCTGACCACGCAGCAAGAAGGGCTGCGGGCAATTTAGCTCATGGAGCTAAAAAAAAAAAAATTAGAATGTGCCAGGAAAAAAAATTCCCACAGTGACTGTGATTGGCTTGGTGTAGCATGTAGCGGTAGAAGAGGCAGGAGTTTAGCATTCATGGCTGCATGAAATGGACTGAGGACTTAGGGCCCATTTGGAAAAACTGTGGGTACAAATCAGTTAATGGGTGCCCTTTTCTCCAGGGAAAGCCTCAAAGACCACCTTCCATAGTTCTTGTTTTCTTCCTATCCACAAACACACAATCATGCTGAGTCATGTGTCTCATACATTACCAGCACTCAGTTACTACAGGGCTCTGTAAGTATCTGCTCATGTGCCCCCCTCCCCTTCCCTGTGATTCTGAGCTTCTTTATTTTTCCTCTGGGCTATACTGTTTATCTCTCTCTATGTGTATGAATGATTTTCACCAATCATTTTCATCTGGTATATAGCCAGTGTCTTTTTTCTCCCCTCTTTATGATTTGTTTACCCAAAGCTTTAAGATATTGTCAACAGATATGCAGATATCCATAGATATGCAGATACTATAGTGTTCACTCTGTCATTTCCAAATAGCCCAAGACTAGAGTTAACCCTTCAATAGTTATGTAATTTGCAAGTGGAAAACTGTGAGTCTGGCCAGTCCATTTCTCCCCTTTTCCCTTTTATACTGATTTCACGAGAATGAGGAAGAGGCAGGCTTTTACACTTAGAAGGGCTGCAGATGCAGATTTCATTGGCAGTGTTTCCAGGAACAGTGGTCTAAGAACAATGAATTATGTGAATTTTTCTGGTGTCAGTTTGTTTCTCAAGTTTCCACACATGCATGGTTGTGGAACCAATGTAGGACTGATTGCTGTAGATTTTCGTTTTTAGACTCTTTTTTTTGGGGGGGAGTGGCGGTCGTGGGGCCTGAACTCTGGGCCTGGGCGCTGTCCCTCAGCTCTTCAGTTCAAGTCTAGCACTCTACCACTTGAGCCATAGCTCCACTTCCGGCTTTTTCTTCTTGTTTCTATGATGCTGAGGAATCGAACCCAGGGCCTTATGCATGCAAGGCAAGCGCTCTACCACTGAGCCACCTTCCCAGCCCCTGCTGTAGATTTTTTAATTTGGTTTCAACATGTCCTCTACCCTTTTGCTCCAATTACTGAGGACATGTGAGCTAGTGGTAAAATGTTTTAAACATTTTTGTTGTTGTTGTTGGTAATGGGGCTTGAACTCTGGGCCTGGGTGCTGTCCCTCAGCTCTTCAGCTCAAGGCTAGAGCTCTACCATTTGAGCTACAGTGCCACTTTCGGTTTTCTGGTGGTTTATTGGAGATAAAAGTCTCAGAGACTTTCCTGCCTGGGCTGGCTTTGAACTGTAATCCTCAGATCTCAGCCTCCTGAGTGGCTAAGATTACAGGCATGAGCCACCAGCACCCAGTCTTAAACATTTCTTTTTGTCAGTAACAATTAGTATGATCACAGGTACCCAAGACAGGGGTCTGGCACATAGCAGCTTCTCAGCAGATCTGAAACAAAAGAGCTTTTGAGTACATGCAGAAGGTTCACACCTTGGACTGACATCTTGTTACCTGATTGTGAGTAGCTCCTTCCCAACACTTGGCACCACCTTTTCTGAATAGTACTTGTCACCATAAAATGGATTACATAGTGACATGGAGTTGGGTGACAATGCAGAACTGGATCTAGATTGAAGTCAGGAATTGTCCCACTGCTATGACAGAAAGAGCATCTGGGGTGACCATCACTCACAATTTCTGCCATCTTTGTCAGTGGTCTGTCTTTGTTGCTATAAATGCGTGATCAGTGCTTGATTTTGTGATTTGATTTTCAGAGAGGAAGAAAACCATTTCTTCTGGCAGCTGAGAGGGGTCATGTTGAAATGATAGAAAAACTTATTTTCCTTAATCTACAAACTTCAGAAAAGGACAAGGTGAGTTGGACTTTGATTCCTTGCTGAGAACAAGAGAAATGGGGAGGAGCAGTTGATGTGGAGGTAGTAACTGGTGTCTAGATCTGGTGGTAGCTTTATTTTTGGTAGGGAAAGTAACAGCAAAGTTTATTTAAAATAGTAAAGTTTAGCTTGGCCTTGGTAGCTCATGCCTGTAATACTAGGTACTCCGGAGGCTGAGATCTGAGATCCTAATTCAAAGACAGCCCAGGCAAGAAAGTTTGAGAGACTCTTACCTCCAATTAAGCATCAAAAAAGCTAGAAGTGGGTCTGTGGCTCAAGGGGTAGAGCACTAGCCTTGAGAAAAGAAAGCTCAGGGACAGTGCCCAGGCCCCAGAATCATACACACACATAAAAAATAATAAAGTTTATTAAAAGAAGGAAACCCATGCTCCAAAATAGGAGAGTGGGCAGTCTCGAAAAGGAGATTGGACACATACTCTTTTGTGCCTGCTTTTATTGAGATTTAAGTGGAAATTTTAGAGAATATTTTATAAAAATTTTAAGACTACATTGGATTTTTAAAAACCCAATTATATCTTGCCAGGTGTCAGTGACTTATGCCTGTAATACCAATTAGTCAGGAGGTTGAGATCCAGGGGATCATGGTTTGAAGCAAACCCAGGAAATAAAGTCTCTGAGATTCCATTTGCAAAATAACCAGCAAAGAGCCAGTTGGAGGTATGGCTCAAGTGGTAGAGCACCAGCCTAGGTAAGCAGGCTAAGAAAGGATGAGGAGGGAAAATTCCCAAAGTAGAACATCATATCTTTATGAGTTTTTTATGGTTTCCTTAGAAAAATTCCCTAGATGTGGTCAAAGAGTTCTGCATACTTCCAAATCTGTTGATATATTGCTAAAATTACCTTTAGAACTTTTTGCTAGTTTATGTTCACATAAGTAAAGTGGAATTGCTTTTGTTATCCTGCTTTCTGCAAATTGATAGCAAAGGTACAGCTAAGGATATGATTTGTGTATGTGTGTATATGTGTGTGTCTGTAATGGTACTGGGATTTGAACTCAGTATTTTGCATTTACTAGCAGGCACTCTACCACTTGTGCTATTCCTCCAGCCCCTTTGCTTTGTTAATTTTTTAAATAGGATCTTACTTTTTGCCCGGGCTGTCCTAGGTTGTGTTTATGTTTCTCATGTAGCTGGGATGACAGGCAATTGACACTATGCCCTACTTTTTATTGGTTGTAAACTTTTTTGCCTGGACTAATCTTGAGCTGTGTGACTTTGACCTTAAATTTTTTGCTTGATTGACTTTCCAATTGCAGCTCTCCAAGTAGCTAAGATTACAAGTGTGAGCCACTTCACCTAGTTCATAAGATTTTATTTTGTCTTCTTACTGGTTCCAACCCCTTGTCTTTTTATTTAGAATTTATTTTAAAATGTATAAAAACCATCTCTGAGGGAGAATAATGTGGCCTGTACTTTAGACTGCAGCTTTAACAAAGTAAAAGCTTGCAGAACCTCTGTGGCAGCCCTGATGTTGGAAGGACATGCTCTTTTCAGCACTGGGGATTCTACATTGAGTGTGTCTCTGTAACAGGAGGGAAACACTGCCTTGCACCTGGCTGCAATGCATGGCCACAGTCCAGCTGTGCAGGTGCTGCTAACTCAGTGGCAAGAAGTAAATGAGACCAATGAGGTAAGTGGAAGTGGTTATTCTGGCTGGGCATGAGACTTAACTGGGAGGGACAGAGGAACAGCTTTCAAGAAAGGAATGGGGGGGGGCTGGGAAGGTGGCTCAGTGGTAAAGCACTTGCCTTGCATGCCTGAGGCCCTGGGTTCGATTCCTCAGCACCACATAAACAGAAAAAAGCCAGAAGTGGCACTGTGGTTAAAGTGGTAGGGTGCTAGCCTTGATCTAAAGAGAGCCCAGGCCCAGAGTTCAGCCCCCACTACCGACAAAAAAATAATAGTAAAAATTAAAGAAAAAGAGGGCTGGGAAGGTGGCTCAGTGGTAGAGCGCTTGCCTTGCATGCATGAGGCCCTGGGTTCGATTCCTCAGCACCACATAAGCAAAAAAAAAAAGCCAGAAGTGGCACTGTGGCTCAAGTGGTAGAGCACTAGCCTTGAGCTGAAGAGCTGAAGGACAGCGCCCAGGCCCAGAGTTCAGGCCCCACAACTGGACCAAAAAAAGAAAGGAATGGGGAGCAGGCAAAGATGTTAGTGCCACAGGGTATAAAACTAAAAGATTCCTACCTTTTCTTTCAAATACACCCCAGTGGTATACTGGTTAATCCACATTCACTTATTCACCTACTGGAAGCTGTCTCCAAACAGAATAGAACAAAACAGCCCACAGAAACGCGGAAAGAACAAGAATCACTGAGGGCAAACCTTGAGTGTGGCTGGCCTTTACAAATCAATATGGGGATTGTCTAAATCCACCTTGACTGGCTTAACAAAATATATTTGACCAGCCATTTCATAAATCATAGAAATGCATTTCTCACAATTCTGAAAGCTGGGAAGACCCAGGTGAAGATAACACAGATTCAGAGGCTGCTAGATGCTGTGGTCTCCTTGCAAGATGGCACCTTCTGGGCTGGGAAGGTGGCTCAGTGGTAGAGCGCTTGCCTTGCATGCCTGAGGCCCTGGGTTCGATTCCTCAGCACCACATAAGCAAAAAGAAAAAAGCCAGAAGTGGCGCTGTGGCTCAAGTGGTAGAGCGCTAGCGTTGAGCTGAAGAGCTGAGGGACAGCGCCAGGACCCAGAGTTCAGGCCCCATGACCGGACCCAAAAAATAAAAAAATAAGATGGCACCTTCTTGTGGTGTCTTCACATAGCAAAAGTGTCTAACTGACCCACCCCAACTCATTACCATTCACAGAGATGGAGTCCTCTTAATCTAGGTCCCACCACTGAACATTATTGCACTTGGACTGATGTTTCAGCTTGGACTTTGGAGGGACAGAAACATTCATACCCTAGAAAACCAAGATTTGTGGTCTTAGTATTGAACTGAAATCTTGCTTATTCATGCTTTCTCTGCTGGGTTTTCATACTCTCCCACACTTGTGTGTTCACTGGGATTTCATCCACCTATTAGCTTTTGGAGTCAAGCCACAAACTAAAGCTCATAGTGATATTATGGTTTGGGATAAGGCCCTAATATCTGCAAGTCATGGAAGTTTCTGGTCCTATTAAAAGTTAATGCTAGATCACTAAGGGTTGTTCACATGATCATGCTCAAGAGCTGTGATCCTGAAACAGTCTTGGTGTAGTAAACTTTTTTTTTTTGTTGCGTCATGGGACTTGAACTCAGGGCCTGAGTGATGTCCCTGAGCTTTTTTGCTAAAAGCTAGTGCTCTATCACTTTGAACCACAGTGCCACTTCAGTTTTTTTCTGGTTCTTAATTGGAGATGAGAGTCTCACAGACTTTCCTGACTAGGATGGCTTCAAACCACAATCCTTAGATCTCAGACTCCTGAGTAGCTAGGATTATAGGCATGAGCCACTGGAGCCTGACAGGTAGTAAACTTTTATCAGTGAATAAAATACAAGCATGTCCCTATTACATGCATTTATAATTAAATTAATGTATTATAAAACATATAAGACATGCTAGAAATATAAGAGTTCTAGTTTAAAAATTAAACATAAATACATAAATAAAAATAAATATGGAGCGTTTTTTCCCCATAGACAGGATTATCATATATATACCTGATTTTCCCCTGCAGTTTCCTTTGTTTTCCTCTGCATATATGTTTTTAGTGGCTGCCCAGATTTCATTTAAGTATTTTTTTGCTTAGGACATTTAGTTTGTTGCAGTTTTTCTTCACTAGAGAGAATGTTGTCATGTACTTCTTTGTATATGAACTGTAGTCTGAATCCTCACTCTTTCCTTTGGGCTTATCCTTAGAGTTAGATTGCTGGGTCAAAGATAAAAATGTGTATGATATTTGTGATGTATTAAACAGGTAAAACCTTTCCTTTCATTTTTTAATGGTGGTGGTACTAGGCTTTGAACTCAGGGCCTCCCACATAGGCAATTACACAAACACTTGAGTCATACCTACAGACCATATACTTTTTGACTGCTTTTTATATAGGGTTATGTTTTTGTCCAGGCTAGCCTCAGACTACAATCTTCCCATTTATGGTCAGTTAGGCTGCGATTACAAGTATATACCTCAAGTGCAGTTTATTTGCTGAGATGGGGCCTCACTAACTTTTTGCCCAGAAGAGTCTCAAATTGTGATCCTCCCATTTTCCACCTCCCAAGTACATGAGATTACAGGGGTGTACTACCACATCTGACCTTTCTTTCACTTATTTTTTGCTTTTTTTTCTGTTTGGGTTTACCCCTTTCTGGGAAAATGAGAAGACAGAATATGAGGAGAAATTCCTTTATAAATAGAAGCATGTCCCAGGCAGAAAGTTAAAGCTTTTTGTGATATTGTTTTTCTTCTCACTGGACATAGAACACTGGTTCCAAGTTCTTGTCTCCCTGTCAACATGATTCTCCATATTTAATTAACTGAGTAAAACCTTATGGAACTAAAAACAGTTTATAGCAAAATCATGTTCAGGAGCAAAATGATAGGGAGTGGGGAAGAAATTCTGCATTTTTCTATAGTTCTAGGGAAAAGGAGTTTTCATGAGAAAGAAGTAGTTACTGTGTGAGAAGCAGTTATTTCTATATCCTATTCTATATCTAACATGTTTGGTCCATACTAGACACTAACTTTACCCTATTAGTGTTTCTAGTGGCTTTCAGGAAACTAGAATACCATTTTCACAAATGAGAGATCACTTTTTAAAAAACAAAATTAATGTTATTTTTAGTGCAAATGTACTTCTAATATTTTATGTTTCATGCTGCATTATAATTCCTTATTTCCAACTTTATCTTTCTTAATAGTCTTTTACCTTCTTGTGGGCAGAATCTTTCTCCTATAGGAAACAATTTGTAAAACAAATGTTTGCTCGAGAGTTTAATAAAGATAAAGAAAAGATGGTAGATGGAGAATCTGAAAGCAGGCAGTATAATGGAGTAAAGTGTACAGGCTCTGACCCAAACAGCTGGACTCGTACTGGGCTTTGCCATTTGTCAGCCGAGGTTTAGTTTTCTTGTCTGTAAAGTGAGGATAACATTAACTGTAACCTATAGGGTTGTTGTATGATGATTGCCAAAGCATGTACTCTTGGCAGTGTAAATTGGCACACAGATGCTCAATAATGCTATCCATGATTAAAAGTAATAGACAAAAGATATAAAGAAAACACACAGTTTTTCAAGCAACCTCATTTCATGCCAAGAGGCAATTAATTTTAACTTATTTTGCCTTTTGTCAGAATGGAGAAACGCCATTCTTTTTGGCTGTGGAAGGAGGTCATGAAGAATGCAGTAAAATGCTACTGGCAGCAGGAAGTGATGTGAATGTGCCAAATAAAGTACGTGCTCTGGGCCAGGTTCACTCACGTAGTGGGAGGGGCCCTTAGAAAGCTCTTGGGGGAATGCTGGTCTCCAATTGATCATTCACTGGGTTTTTATAGAATGAGTCTTAAAATGTATCCTGCTTTGGGTAAGAGTTAATCATTACCTCTGACATTTTTCATTAACATCTCGAAAGTAATTTATTGAAGGAAGAAAGAATTGGAAGTTATTATACTTGCAAATAGGACAAGTACTTATCACACAGACATTCTTACTCTACTTTGTTTCTCCATAGCAACTAGTACACAAATTGCTTATACGTGGTAGACATACTGGATACTTTTTTGAAAGTGTCCAAAAAGAAATGTATCTATGACCTGACTTATAAAATGGTAACCCCTCTGTACATCATCCTCATAATAGCAATAAAAATAATAAGAAATAATAAGAATAATAAAATTGAAGTTTGCCGTGTGAAAGCTCAAGAATACTTTTGTATTTTGTCTTGGAGCTAAAATTTTGAAACGTTCAAGACTGTAGTAGTATATGTTATTTTAGATCAGAAAACGATAACTTGAAAAATTAATGAACTCACCCAATATCAGACAACTCAGTAGTGTTAGTGCAAGGATTCAAACTCATGAATGATTCTGGTGTCTGGATTTTAAGAACAGTCATGGCCCTGCTTTCAGGTGAGTTACCATTCATATATATATATATATATATATATATATATATATATATATATTCTAATTAATATGGAAGTGTGATGAAAATAACTCATGATAACAAAATTTGAATAATTACTAAGGGTATAGTGTCATTGTAACCCTCATCTCAATATCATTCCTGGGAATGAACATCAGTCATAGTTTATCTCATTTTCCAGGAATTTCCATGTGTTCATACAGAAACTGTGACTTGACTAAACATGCCCTCATATACACCCAAGACACCACATGAATGTTGCCATGCTGTATACATATGCTGCTCGTGCCTTGTTTTTATTTTAATTGCTGATAGTTTGGAGATCTTTATGTCAGTACAATGCATAAACTTTTTTTCAAAAAATATAAATTAAAGCACTAGAATCAAGACGAAAGCCCAAACAGAATACATGTGTGTGTATATATATGTATATATATTTTGTTGGTGGGAATGGACATCTGTACAACCCTTTGGAAAAGGACTCTATGCATTTCGTTTCACTTATGATGTATGGTATATTATAACAGAAGGACAATATAAAAGGAAGGAA